TTTAAAATATAACTTTGGAAAATATCAACCAGGGACATATTTCTTAAACCAGACATAAATACAGAAACCAAAAGAAAAGATTGCTACATTAAATTACATTGAAGCTAATAACCTCTACTTATCAAAGTCACCCAACAGAGCAAAAAGCCTTACAATGCATCCAAGAAAAGATGTTGACAACATTTCAAAGATTAGTACCCAGGATATATTATTAAGTACTGTGAATTAATAAGAAAAAGATTAACAAGCCTATAGAAAATTGTACAAACAATATGTATCATCATCTCACAGAAGAAAAAGAAACACAAATGACCCATATGCATTTGTGAGAAGATGTTGAACATCATTAGAAGTCATGGAGGTGCAAATGAAAACTACAGTGAGATACCATTTCACACCCAAAAGTTTGGCAAAAGTTAAAAGCCTAGGTAATACCAAGGATTAGGGAGGATGTGAAGAAATTAGATATGAAGAATTGACATGGTGGTAGAGGGAGTTTCAATTAGTACAAACACTTTACAGAATGGTTTGGCATTACTTAATAAAGCTAAACAAATACATACCCTACAAACCAGCAATTCACTCCTAAGAATAAACGCTAGGAAAAGTCTTGCACATTTGTGTAGGTGACATCTTAAAGCATATATAGACAGTATTTTTCAAAATGCAAAAACAAAAACAAAACAAAACAAAAAAACTGGAAACAATCCAAATGTCCTTCACAGTTGGGTGAATAAATAAATTGTTATTATTCATACAATAGACTGAATATAAACAACAATGGAAACGAGTGAACTACAGCCAACCCCATCAGCAAGGATGAATCTCAGAAACATGATATTGGGCCAAAAAAGTCACAGAACAATATCTATAGTGTGATTCCTTTTACATAAAGTTTGAAGAAGAATAAACTAACAATGCATTGTTTAGAAATATATTCACAGATGGTAATATTATAAAGAAAAACAAAGAAGTGGTGATTGCCAAACTCAGGATAATGTTTATTTTGGAGCAGGGAATAGGGGTGAATGTGCTTAGGGGGTGTGGGGTGGATGCGGGCTTGTGAGGTATGGAGATATTTTATTTCTTAACCCAGAGGGGTAGGTGGGTTCTTGTGTGTTCATATTATTATTATTTGAACTGTGAAAAAGATAATACATATTTTATTTTAAGAGATTCTGAGATGAGAGATAAGAGAGATAAGAGATTCAAGCAGGATTTGCAAATCTGCCCCAAACTCTATTTAAAATGCTGTGTACATTAAAAAAGACAAATACATGAAAAGATGTACTGTGTACACTTTTTTCTTAAGTATGATAAATTTCATACTAAATTTTAAAATGCTGTGTGTGTGTGTGTGTGCTGTGTGTGTGTGTGTGTGCGTGCATATTTCTGGATGGAAATTCCATGCCTCATCAGATTATCTAAGGAATACATAGTGTTCTAACAGAGTGACAACTGGATGTAAGATTTCTGAGATTCTGTCCAGTTCTGATATTCTCAGGTGGACAGAGCTCCTGTACAGGCTGGCAGCCTGGTCAGCTGGCCAAACCTCCCTCTGTCTTAGAGAGGAAGCTAAACCAGCTGTGAGTCTTCGCCCTCCATAACTCACATGACTATCTTAAGGCCAAAGGATATATCTGGGGTCTCATGTAGGGGAGGGCAAAGTTCCTCTTTTCCTCCTGGGAGACTGAGTCCCTTTGCCTTGGGCATCTCCTTCCCTTTCTCCTTCCCTGGCTCTTCGACATGTGCTCTGCCTCTTTCTTCTTTCTATGGTCCGTCCACATCTTGCTGATGGAGTTGGCCATTACTGCACAGCCTGAAAACAGCAGAGCCTGAGTCAGGACCCAGGGTGCTGTCTCACAGCCCAGTGCTTTTCTGCCACACCACTGGCCACTCCTATTCTCTTCTCCCCCAGCACCTCTGTCCCTCTCTGATCTGACTTCCCATGGGGACTGCAGGGCTCAGTTGGACTTGCATTGGCAAGTCCACCAAAGAATGCATTTATCTATTCATCCATGTCACCCATGGAAGGACTTTGAGTTTTGTTTGTTTTTGAGACAAGGTCTCACTCTGTCACTTAGGCTGGAGTACAGTAGTACAAACACAGCCCACTGCAGCTTCCACCTCCTAGATTCAAGGAATCCTCCCACCTCACCCTCCTGAGTAGCTGGGACTACAGGTGCGCCCCACCACCCTTGGCTAATATTTTAAAAAAAATTTTGTAGAGACAGGGTCTCACTATGTTGTCCAGGCTGGTTTCAAACCTGGGTTCAAGCACTCCTCCCACCTCAAACTTCCAAAGTGCTGGGATTAGACTTTAGATTTTATTCTGAAGGAGATAAAAACCATTGGGGAGAGACAGTGATGGGCTCTGAACTTTTTTCCAGAAGGTCTTTCTAGAAGCTATGTGGAACTTAAACTTCGTGGAATAAGGGGAGAAGTCAGGAAGACCATTCGGAGGCTATCACATTAATCCAGGCAAAAGGTGATGAGGCTTGGATCAGGGAAGTCACCATAAGGTGGGGAGGTGTGATGTGATTTGGAACCAGCCATTTGCAGTAGGACTGGATGAAGGTCAAGAGAAAGAGGAGTCAAGGCTGACTCCAAGGTTTGTGGCCCAAGGAACTAGAAGGAAGAAGATGCCATCACCTTGGTAGGGAGACTGTGGAGAAGCAGGTGTGGTGTGGGTCAGGAAGGGGAGGTCAAGGATCCTACTTTGGACATGGTGACTTCCAGGTGCCTTTGATTACCCAGGTAGTGATGTCCAGTCTGTAGTTTGATAAAGGCACATGAAGTTCAGGGGAGCAGCCCAGGGAGAGGATGTGAATGTGAAGTCAGCAGGCAACAGATGCTCTTTAATGCCAGTCCCTGAATATGGTCAGCTGGGCTAGGAATTAAGAGAAAAATCTAAGCACTGAGCCACATCTGTGCAGGTCGGAAGTCTCAGGTATTCCCAGGACTCTTTAGTGGGAGGTGTCCTGAAGGAGGCGGATTTCAGCTGATGTAGGTCTTATGCTATTTGTAAATCCAACACAACTTATACCAGTGATGAATGAATTCAGGGCAGGTCAGCTGCAGTGTGACATAGGCCTATTGTCCCCTGATCAAGAAAGAAAGACAAAACAAAAAGGAAGAAGGAAGGAAAGAAGGAAGGAATGAAGGGAGGGAGGGAGGGAAAAAAGAGGAAGGAAAGAAGTGAGGGGGTGAAAGAAGGAAAGGAAGGAAGGAAGGTAGGAAAGAGGAGAGAAAGAAAGGGAGGAAGGGAGAAAGAAAAAAGGAAGAAAGGAAAGAAAAAAGAAAGAAAGAAAAAAGAAAGATGAAGGAAGGAAGGAAGGAAGGCAGGAAGGAAGGAAAGGAGGGAGGAAGGGAGGGAGGGAGGAAACAAATATGCAGGCAAACCTCCCCTCCTTTTTTTCCTTAGTCTCCCCATTGGTGCCATGGAGGTGTAGGTTCTGATAGCGTCCTCAGCGGACACAGGCCCTTGGATTCTAAATGTGTCTCAGCCCAGTCGCTGTGTGTCAGGGCTCCAGTGTCTGTGAGGAGATGGTCAAAGATGGACTCACAGAATCAGCCATTGCCTTTTATCCCATGGCCTGTGTCACCAAGTGCCATGGTAAGTGGAAGTGATGCCTCCCCAGAGATCACATTAGCTCTGATAATGCTCCAGCCTCCCGTGCACAACTTGCCCTCAGGCCACCTGGCTGGGCAGGAAGAAGGGCACCTAGAGAAGCCACATGGCCCCATGGCAGGGAGTCTGGGCCAGAGACGGAGAGAGACGCCTTCCCTTTCAGCCCAGTCCCAGCCTAGTGTTCTCGCTGCTGACCCCCAGTAGTCTCTGAAACTACAGGTGGAGCTCCCAGACTTGTTGATTGGCCCTCTGATGGTGTGCATGTTAGGGGGAAATCCCTCCCTCCACCCTTGTAGCAAACACTTCCAGCTCCATGCCCACACCCCTTATCATCCACTGTTCCTGCCAATGCAGATCCAACCCAGTGGCTTCGTGCTGCCAGTACCTGGGGCTCTGCTGGTAGCCTTTCTCTGGCAGCAGGACAGGCTCATCCCTCTCATCAGACAGGCTGGACTTGCTGGGAAGTTGACACTCTGGGGGCGTCCTTCATGGATAAATGCTCCAGTTTCCTTCTCCTCAAGCAAGACAACACTGAGGCATGCTCTATGCAGTCTCCCCGAGGCCCCCACCAGGGCTGAGCACCAGTTTCCCCAGCAGCAAGTGCTCCTTAATCTGCTTTCTATTGGTTTCCTTCCCTTTGCTGTCTCACTTCTCCTCTTCCCAATGAGTGCTTCCAGGATTATCTCCTAAATAAATTATTTGTATTCAAATCTTTGTTTCCAGTTCTGTTTCTTGAGGAATCCAATACAAAATGAAACCAACCAAAGACATCAAACCCAACCAAAGAAAGAGATCTCTTCTAGTTCTGTATTGTACATGTTTCTGGAGCACCATTTAAGTAACAGAATACATCAGGCATTGTCCTTGACCCTGGTAGGGAGGTCTCACAAATAACGGTACAGGCAAATATACACAGCAGTATAAAAGAGGAGTCTGACTCTGTTGTAGGAGGTGGTTATCAGGGAAAGCCTCATAGTGAAGGTGACTGGAGGTTTTGGAGGATGAATAGGAGTTCTCCAGGTAGAAAAAAGAATGATGGAAGCAGCATATTAAAAAATCTAGAAGTGTATAAAAACACAGGGTATTCTGGGAACCACTAGCAGTTTAGTATCTCTCATATTACTGGAGAATAAAGCATATTTTGGAGGTGATAAAGAATTTGTGGGAAAAATGAGGAGAGAACAAGAATAGCAGGAGGTGTGGTTAAAGAGCCAGAGTCTTGTCTGTATTCCTCAAGTGTTTAGGCATTATCTTGGAAAGGTTGGAGGATTTTTTAAAATTGTGGGTTATCTTTTTCTGTTTGATTAAGTATCAAATACTCATTGTGGAAAAGTTGGCAAAAGAAGTGTAGAGAAGAAAATAAAATTACCTCAAATCCAGAGTTAATTAAATCATGTTTATGTGTTGGTGTGTTTCAGAGGAGTTTCAGGCAGAGGAACGAGGTGGTCACACTTGAGTTCTAGGTAGAGCTCTGGCAGTTGGTGATGATGATGCAGCTGGAAAGATACTGAATGTGGAGTGACCAGCTAGGAGGCTGCTGCAGTGAGGGGTGATGAGGGTTCTTTGTTGTGGCTTTGCAGGGTGTTTCAGAGGTGGGATTCTCAGCACTTGAAAACCAGTTGGATGGGGTGTGGGGTAGAGGAGAGGAGGGGACCATGACTACTAGAGAGATTCTGAGCGTCTCCACCATGACTTGGTGGAGGGAGCAGAGGCTGGAAGCCAGGAGACTTGGGTTCTCATTTCCACTCTATGACGTCCAATCTGTGGAACCCTGGATAAGTCCCTTAAGCCCACAGAGCCACAGTTTCCTGACCTGAAACATGGAAAGATGATTCTCTTCCTGCTTTCCTTACAGGATTGTCATGATGGTCCAATAGATCAAAGGAGATAAACACCTTTCATGTGTGGAAACCTACAGTTCTGAGCTCTTGTCCTCAAACCTCTGCTCAGTCTTTTCCCTCACCTGACTTTTGTCCTCTGCCCCCAGAAGGCAGGGGAACCCACACCCCTCTAGGTTTCCCTTCCTCTCCCCTCTGCATCCTGCCCAGAGGACGTTTGTCATGTTTGTCCTTCTGGTACAGATGCTCTAAACACCCCCACGGACCACCATTTTTTTTTTTTTGAGAGGGAGTCTCGCTGTGACTGGAGTGCAGTGGCGGGATCTCGGCTCACTGCAAGCTCCGCCTCCTGGGTTCACGCCATTCTCCTGTCTCAGCTTCCCGAGTAGCTGGGACTACAGGCGCCCACCACCTTGCCCGGCTAATTTTTTGTATTTTTAGTGGAGACGGGGTTTCACTGTGTTAGCCAGGATGATCTCGGATCTCCTGACCTCGTGATCCACCCGCCTCGGCCTCCCAAAGTGCTGGGATTACAGGCGTGAGACACCGCGCCCGGCCACCACCATTCTTTCATTCATTCACTCATTCACTTCACATGCTGGTTGATGCTCTAGTATGTTCCAGGTGCCAGAACATGTGCTATAAAAGACAGACAAGGTCTCTGTGCTCATGGAGCTCACATACCGCCCAAGGGGGGACATAAAATTAAACAACTAGGACCAATTCCGATAGTGATGTAACAAAGGAATAAACAGGGTGATAGGATAGAGAGTGAGGGTGTATTTTCGATTTGAGTGGTCGGGAAGGGACCTCTGGACTGAAACTTGAACAACTCAGGCAGAGAAAACAGCAAGTGTAAAGGTCTTGGGGTGGGCTTGAGGTTAGGATGTTTACAGAATGGAAAGGTCAGTGTGGCTGGGTTGATCAAGCCCCACCCATCGCACTTAGCACTGCCACCTCTCTGAAGCCTCCTTGGATCAACAGGATGCTTCTCTTGCTGATTCAGCTCCACCCTACTCCCACACATCTGTGGTCACAATCCATCCTGACCACACTGGGTTATGACAGACCCTACACACTGGTCTGGGAGCTCCTTAAAATCAGGGGCTATCTCCTCTCTAGCCAGCACTGTTCACGCACACATGAGCATCTGCTACATGGATTAATACATTGATCAATAGATGAATCAATGAATGAGAAAACGACTATCAGGTCCAAATAACTCAGTCCTTCACTTGTCTAATTGTTACCTTCTCAAATTCCCTGACCCCTTATGCAAACTGCAGCCCCACTGACCCCCCATTCCCTCACCCGTCATATAACGTGTGTATTTATGATGTTTCCCGTTTCCTCTATCTCCGCTGGTAGAAAGTAAACTCCATGAGGTCAGGAATCTCCGAGTTGTGTTGCGTCAGCGTAATCCAAGAGCCCACAACAGTGCCTGGCACACAGCGGGCATGTGGAAGAACAAATGTGTGAAGGGGTGAATGAATGAAGAATTGAATGAATAAATAGTAGTTCTCAGCTTCATAGAACACGGGTCACAACCTCAAATGCCCTGCTACCCTGCCCATAAATAACAGAGATGCAGGAGTAAGTGCTGGGCTGTGACCTGTCAATATGCTAAGTCGCTCAAACAAAATTGCCCAACAGCCTGCTGGCCGCCTATTTGCAGTACTGGGACCTGAACCGCACATTCCCATTTCATTGATAAAGAAACTCTGACCAGATAGTTTAAGTGGCCTGCTGCGGACGACAGAGCTGGTGCAGCACCGGTCGCTGCTTCCCCAGGCCTTTTTTTTTTTTTTTTTTTTTTTTTTTGGCCTCCTCTCTGACACGACGCAGACCCCAGTTTTGGAGAGTCTATCACTCGCTCCCCGTGGTGGGAGATCATAGCCTGGTGTCCTTGGGAGCGGCGAGCGGTGCTCGGCGCAGGATAGAAAGGGAGTGCGCGCCCGGGTCCCACAGATCCCTGGGAGCCCGCGCCACGCTCCCGCCCCTGCCCATCCCCGGCCGCGCTGTCAGTCTCCATTAGCGCTAACAGGCTCCAGACGGAGCGGGCCGGGCGCTGGGTTAATGCAATCGGCGCGTTACCTGGGGCGCAGGCTACATTACCAGCCCGGCCCCCGCCAGGCACGGCCTGAACCAGTCAGCCCGCGCCCTGCCGGCCGCCCCGCGCCTCCAGCTCTTCCCCGGCCCCGCCCGAACGCCACGCGGCGGAGCCCAGCCCCAGCCCGCGCCCCAGAGCCTGCCAAGGCGCCGCCGGTCGGGGGCCAGCAGGGCGCAAGGCACCAGGGATCCCCTCGCCGCCGGACACGTGAGTGCGCCCTGAGCGCGGGACCGGGCTAGGTGTGCCGGGGAGGTCCGGGCCGAGACGCGCCAGCAGAGGGCCAGCGAGTTTGTAGTGCAGTGACGTTAAGTGTCCGGGGAGGCTCCCGGAGCTGTTGAAGTGGCGGGGACCCGAGCTGGGGAGTGGGTCGGCACGCTGCCCTCAGCCTGGGTGAGTTCAATCCCAACCATTTGGGGCAGGCGAGAATGGGTGAACGAGGAAGAGTGCTGCAAGGTCTTCAGCCGCACCGACAGGGCTGTCAGAAGAGGCGTGCCCCAACCTCTGTTTCCAAATTTTTCCAGCGGACGCGCGCCCGTTTCTGGGAACCCTGCGTTCGCTCAGCGCGCGCTCATCCCAGTGTCCAAGGCACTCCCAGGTGGTCTTGGGAGTTGCAAGTAGGGAAGAACGGCCCAGTAACCACCTCTTTTCCCTTTATCCAAGCAGTGCCTCAGCGTGCCCCCAGGACCGCTAAAGTTCCTCTCGCCAGCCGCATCCATGCTTCTGGCGCGAATGAACCCGCAGGTGCAGCCCGAGAACAGCGGGGCGGACGCGGGTCCAGAGCAGCCCCTTCGGGCGCGCAAAACTGCGGAGCTGCTGGTGGTGAAGGAGCGCAACGGGGTCCAGTGCCTACTGGCGCCCCGCGACGGCGACGCGCAGCCCCGGGAGACCTGGGGCAAGAAGATCGACTTCCTGTTGTCCGTAGTCGGCTTCGCAGTGGACCTGGCCAACGTGTGGCGCTTCCCCTACCTCTGCTACAAGAACGGCGGCGGTGAGCGCGGGGTCGGGCTGGGAATTTGAATTTGGGAGGTCCGCTGTCTGAAGCGGTGGCTGGGACAGGAGCTGGAATACACACGGAAGGGAAGCCAGGAGACGGGCAAATCTGGGGCGCAGAAAGAACTGGACAGGGCTAACGGAAAAAAAAGAATCGGAGTCCTCTGGAAGGTCATTTTCCCGGGCTCTTTGCAGAGTACCTCGAGTTCATTCCAGCGGAAGTGTCAGGATTGTGCACCCTAGAAGCAAAACAGCGGAAGAGTTAAATGGAGGCATGACCCTAAAGTCATGATAGGGGTAAGGATGGAAAGGAGAGAATCTGGGGTGCCAGGTTGGGTAGGGGAGCCTGACCATTTGATGGTCTGCTGGAAGGGAGGTGGAGGTTCCAAGAGCTCTTGAAGGGGCACCAGAAGTGGGTGGGATTTGACAACCAGGCCCACAGTGACCCTAAATCTAGCACTCTGAACCTGGGGGCAGGAACCTTTGGGCCAGGAGCAGTGGGAATACTTGGGTTCTCCGAAAGCACCTGGGGAGGCCCTGTGGTCTTGGGGATAGAAACACACAAGAAGAAGCCAGTATCAGAAAGAATGCCACTCTCAGGGAGCACAGCCCAGGTGAAATCTGGCCAGTAGGTGCCAAGAACTGGCCTGGTGCTAAAGTCAGGAGGCCTGGATGATTGGGGTGAAACGTCTACCTCCTCAAGTCCTAGCTGCATTGCAGGGAGGAGTGGGAGAGGGGCCTGAAGAAGGCTCCAGTGGAACAGCCCTTCTCCTGCTGGGTGGTCCAGTTGGCCACCTGCCTGAGAATGAGAGCCTAGAGATCACCTACAGCCAATCCAGGAAGAATAACATAGAACCCCGGGCCACGGAAGCGGCCTGGGAGTCAGGGTGCTGGCCCCCATGCCCTAGCTCCTTCCTGAGGGGCTTTGCTCCCGGGGTGCCCAGTCCTGCCACTTTTGCTGGGATGAGCTCAGAGGTACCCTGCAAAAAGTGTGGGAAAATAGGCCTTCTAGAGGAAGAAACTGGAGAAGGAGGACCCAGGTCTGAAAGCCTGTCTTTCTCCACTGGGCTGCATTGCTTGGTGGTAGCTGTGACTCTGGACTTAAGGGAGGTCAGAGGGAGGAAGGGCAAGAATTTGGAGCTGGGTAGACGGAAAGCTCATGACCTGTTCACAGGCTCTAGGACTTTCAACCCTTGCTTCTATGTGTACTCTGGACACTTGCTTTGGGATGGGCAATACTTAGTGTTTGCAAAAAAGGAGTGGGGCCAGGCGTGGTGGCTCATGCCTGTAATCCTAGCACTTTGGGAGGACAAAGTGGGCAGATTGCCTGAGCTCAGGAGTTCGAGACCAGCCTGGGCAACATGGTGATACCTCATCTCTACTAAAAATACAAAAACTTAGCTGGGCGTAGTGGTGCACGCCTGTAATCCCAGCTACTCAGGAGGCTGAGGCAGGAGAATTACTTGAACCCAGGATGTGGAGGTTGCAGTGAGCCGAGATCACACAACTGCACTCCAGCCTAGACCATGGGTAACAAAGCAAGACTCTGTCTCAAAAAAAAGGAGTAGGATCACCGTAGAGCACAGGTGGCTCTCAGCAGAGGATGCTGAGTAAGAAAGCAGTTAGCTCTTCCTATGAGACAGTTAACCCAAGGTTGGAGCTGACAGATGGAGGTTTGTGTCCATGCCCTCCCCAGCACCTCCTGAGATGGGTCTGTCATTGTCAGGTACTCTGAGACCAGATAGCTGGGACAGCAGTCCTGAGCTTCAGGAGCATCTGAGATCTAGGGCCTGATCCCTGGGGGAAAAACTTGTGACTCTGCAAGCTCAATGTTTGTGTCTGACCCTGGAATGGTCATGGGCAGAGAGAGAAAGGTGAGAAAAGGAGAAGCTAATCCAGAGGTGAAACTTTCCCACGTTTGGCGGCTATAGCCTCTCAAGGGTTACTGGGCAGGTTTGAGCATTGCTGTTTGGGCCCAGGACGGGAGAAAATGCAGATTCTCTATATTTTTTAACAAGCTGGGAGATGATGAATGAGAGACCTTAAGACCCGCCATCCCGCCTGTCCTCAGTGACCGCCCCAGACTGCTTGTCTCTAGACAGTGGAAGGCTCTATCATTAATCAGCAATATTTTTCTGGTTCCTCTTGGTGTGAGGCACAGTGCTAGGCTCTTCAGGGGTCACGGTCACCAAGCGGCATGAACCACCACTTCTGCCTGCCAGGAGCTTTAATCACCCAATTCTTTATTGTCATGCTGCTACAAGTTCTTCCCATTGCACTATGTGTTTGTTGAAACTAAAAGCATCCAGATGGCCAGTTTGACAAGTCAGCTAGATGGATATTCCAGGGCTTTCATTGACACTGTGTGCTCATTTAGTCATTGCCAGCAATGCAAATAAAGAGCACCTGTTGTATGCAGGGTACTAGACCAGGTTCTTAGGATGCAAAATGGAGCAAACTCGTCACAAGTTCCAATCTTTAGGTGAAGTTGGCCAAAAACTTCTTCTCCTGGGCTTGCTAGCTTAAAACACAACTCACTCCAAGTTGTTCGGTGGTTTGTCTCTTTGTGGGTCTGTCTCCCAAACAGGAAAAGGCACAATGAGGGCAGAGACTGTGACTTTTTTATCCCTGTATGTCTAATGCCCAAGATAAGGCCTAGGTCACAGGAATGTGGTAGAAGGTACCCAAGAAACTGCTATTGAATAAGTTAATGAAATGCTCCAAGCCCTCAGAGACCTCCAACCGTATTCAGAAACAACAGAAACACTCAGCGGTAACAAATAAAGTGAAGCCACATACACCGGTGGGGCAGGGGCAGTCTCTTCATTCGTGGTCTTGGCTGTGGAGTCCTGGGTTCCAGTTTCTAGCTATATGGCTTTGGCAAGTCTCCATGCCTCAGTTTCCTCACTTGTCAAATGGAAATAATGGTGTTCAGCTTGGAACATTGTTGCGAGGACCAAATATAATAACTCATGGAGAGTCTGGCATGGAGCGTAGCCTTAGGAAAGGTGGCTGCTGATTTTTGTTAATGTCATTATGGTGATGTATGACATGGTTGGAGAGACAAGTGCTTTAGACAAATGCTGTAAAGGCCTGAGGAAGGGCTGCTTAGGAAGGGCTGGGTGGAGGTGGGCTGTGGTTAAAGCTCAGCTGCTCTGGATGGGGTGGGTGCAGACAAGCAGTGAGAAGGGAGGCGATCTCCAGCTGTGCACCTGGGATAGGAATGTACATGGAATCATCTCAGAGAACAGGAGTGCAGGCTGGCTGCAGGGCAAGCCGGGAGAGATAAGGGTGCAGGGGCAAGTTGGGGCCAGGCTGCAGAGGCCTTGAATGCCAGGCTAAGGGGTGGGGATATTATACCAGTGAATTTCCATTTCTGGTTAAGATGTTCACAGTTGGTGTCAGGGAGGAGTGCAGTCCTCCATCTCAGAGTATGAGGTAACTCCTTTTCTCACTTACCCCTCATCCCTTCAGACATGCTGAGCTAGCCCCCTCTGGGCTTTATCTCTGCTGAGGCCTCCTGGCTTCTCTGTCTTTTTGTGGATCAATTCTCATTCAGTAATTCCCAAATTAGCCCCAGAGCTGAGCAAGTGGTCAGGAAGGTGGGTCTCCTGCAATTGCAGAAGCAGCCGGAAGACTGGCGTTTGAGTCTGAGCTCTGCCTCTCACTGTGTGACCTCGGGCATAGTACAGCCCCACTCTGAGCCTCAAGTTCCCAGCTATAGCTGAACATGACCTGGGATAATACCACAAGATTTATTCCTTTCCAATGCCCTGGCTCAGGGTTACACCGAAGCCAGGACTCACCCGGCCTGTTATTTAACAGCTGTCAGTGTGCTCTTCTGGTGCCAGTATTAACCCTATAACCTCTGCAATTCTGACTGTTCTTGCTGGCCCAGACTGGAGGATGTTTTGAAATGATGAAGGTGCCAATGGTTTAGGCCCCTGGCTAATGTTTTCTGAATACATTACTGGAAGAGATCAGCCTGTCTGATCATCTTCCCCATGACCAGCTGCTGGGATGCACGGGCTGCGGGAGGCTTTGGGAGCGGAAAGCAACTCTCAGAAATTCCGGAGCTTTGTTCAGAGTCTTCTCAAACAGCTGGTCTCCATGAGGAGGCAGTACCAGGTGATGATTCTAGAGTTTCCCTTTGCACCTGTGATCCTGGTCTGTGCTGGTCCCTGGGGAAGAGCAGGAAGATGGACTGGGTGCTCATGTTTGCCTTTCTTCCAGGGAAGTGGCTGCTGTGAATTAACCTTCGCACATGGCTGCTTGTATTTGAGTCCCGTCCTGAGGACAGCTTAGAGCTGTGCATTGTAGAGAAATATAGTCTTTAGGTTCAGGGTCTGAGTGTAACTTTTGCTAGAAAGGTAACGACAGACAAATCACTCACCTTTGCTGATCTGAGCTTCAGTTTCCTTACACAGAAGAGGAGAATAACCACAGCACCTTCTTGCAGGGTGAGATGGCATCAGAGACAATATATGTAAACTCCTCGAAATGATGTCACATAATAGGGGCTCGATAAATGTAGTCATTAGTATTTGGTTGTTGTTCAATGATGTTAACTGCATGCTAGACTTAGGAGTGGGGCAAGATCCTGATTTTTGGAAGTAGCAGAATTCATCCTAAGATGAAATTGATAAAAGGAAATAATGCTGGAAAGTAGTCCCACTTGGGTCTGGAGCCCAAGCATGACGGACTCAGGAATCAGGGATTGGGCTTTGCTCCATCTCCTGACAGCCTAACCTTATCTCAAAATAGATTCCTCACCTGGCAAATGGGGTTTATAATTCCTGCATGGGGTCCCAGGACCTTTTGTGGTTCTGCGTCCCCAGCGGACTCTCTTCTCTCCCCAAGGAAGCTCAGAGCCTCAGGGACCCCCAGCCCTTTGGGAGCCCTTGTGGCTGAAATATCTGGGATCCTTAACACCAAGTGTGAAGTAGTGACGGCTAGAGAGGTCAGGAATCTCCAAACTCAGTGCTCTTACATCTGGCT